GCCCTCATTGAAAGCTGTGATAATTTGTTCTAGTTAATTTTGATTTAAATATATAGCCTTTCAGTTCTAGTTAATCATCTTGGCTTTTTTTTTAAATAATAATGACAAGATGAATAAGAACACCATTTTTTTCTTTATTTTATTATTTTGCATCCCTCTGCTGTTTAGTCTTAGAATCTTCTTTTAAAAAATACCACTTTTTTTCAATCTGTTAATTGCACTGCAATTGTAAGTGAGGTAAAATGAAATACTTATGGTAGTTGATGTCTTCAATCCTGTTTTTTCAACCTAAAGTAATATTTGAGACAGCTATGATTTTTGCTGTAATTATTCTTTTGACATATGAAAGACTTAGATTTATTCAGAGTTGTCCTGCACCTTTTTTCCAAAGGAAAGAGAACAACTTGCAAAAGGTTGTAGAAGAAAGTGCTTCTTTAAATCTGTTTTATATTACTGCAAGTATGTAAGGAAGCTAAATACTGTTTTTACTTTCTTTTCTAATGGAAGTACACATAATTTCTGTTACCCATTTTGTGTTGATATAGGAGGGAAAATTGCATTTGTACTAACTCTAGAAAAATTCTTTTGGAATGTCTTAGTGGGGCTGTATTGCAAGGGGATGTTATGAGCAGTTTGTTACTTTTTTATCCTCTCCAGAATACTGACTGCATTGTGAATGGGGAGAATTTAAGAATGTGGTGATAGGATTTATTTCCTGTTAAAAAAACCCAAGGCATGTACTAACATCAAGTATAAACAGGAATATATAAACAGGGATGGCTTATGGAAACAAACAAAACAGGCAGTTTTTTCCAGGAGAAAGTGGCAATGGAAGTGCTTCCAAGCTAATTTTGTGTTGTCACAGTCTGGCTGCTCAAGGAAGTGGAAAAAATTCTTGATGGTCTCTTGTAGGTGTAGTGCTGCATGCTTGCTGCCTTTTTAGCAACCAGCTCTCTCAAGCCTGAGGATACTTTACAAGAAACTCCCAAAGGAGTCTCACAACCCCCTGTGTGTTGTGGGAGGATCCCTTTAGAGCACATAACCCAAATCCAGGTATAGAAGTCTGCAGGGGACTTTCCTACCAGTTAGAGAACCTGTTGCCCAGTAGGGCCTTATCCAATTTTCCCATTTGCCATTCAGCTGTTTTTGGATGTGTGGCCACACACCTACTCCTTCATCTGTCAGTGCAGATAGTCTTCAAGGAATTCATAATCTCTGCTAAAAGAGAATGGAATATTGAAGCCCTTGGGAGATTGTCCTTACTGCACCACAGCAAACAGGAGCTTAGATAAGATGCACACACTGAGATGGGATGCAAGGTCAGGAGCACAGAACTGCTCTCCAAAATACAGGCACTTTGCCTGGAAACTCAGGCTTTGTGGTATTTCTGAAGAATTTCTACACCTCTGGAGATCTGCAGCAGTGCTGTCTGGAGTGTCATCCATCCTGCAAAATCTGTCCATCCAAGCATACAGAAGCACTTAGCAAAGCCTTGCTGCTCTTTGTGTTCTTAAAATAAACAAATAAATAGAGAACTCTTCTCTAAGTAACATATCTGATAGTTGTTGGAGAGGGTAAAGCAGGACACCATTTGGCAAAATCTTTCATGACATCATGTTAACAACAGGCAGATTGACAATCTGTCCTCCTCTGCATGGAGTCTCATTTAGAAATCTGTAGGTCAGACTGAAGGGAGGGCAAGTGTTAAAGTTCCCAGTCTGGTGAGCTTGAGTACTGAAATACCCATAGTGTAACTGTGTATACAACAATTTTCAATTACTTCTATTCAATTTTATGTTTTAATTTGCTAAGTTTCTAGGCAATGCTTTATGTATATTCTTTGTTTTCTTCAAGATGATAAAGATATCTAGATACCTGAAGGTGCATAGGAGGAGGAGTTTAAGGAGAAAATAATTATGCAGTTACACATTGTTTGGTTTGGGGTTTTTCTGTTCAATGTCCAGTAACAAATGCTTTCCTTTGTCAGAATGCATGCCTTGTTTATTGAAGTTAGAGAAATTTCTTACATTCAATTCCAGGAAAGAGCAAACAGTCTAAGGTAAGCTTCACAATTGTACTTGTGCCCCAACTTCTAAAATATCACTGAGATGGAGACTAAAAACAGTGTGTATTTTGTTATTGCTGCTTTATTTGGTCTTTCAAAAAATTGCTGTTGACCACCTTTTAATACAGGATGAGCAACTGGGCACTTGCACTCAGTCAGATAAGGCCTTATCTGCTCACAAGACTTTTGTTCCTGTGAACATTCAGAATGCAGAGTCAATAAATTATTGCAGGAACATGCTACATTACTTTCTGGCTTATATATATTTTAACCACACTATTAGAGTTGGAAAAAGTTTTTATTTCTGGTGATGTGTCAGTCACTAAAATGTTGACTTTAAAATTCAGATTTTAAGCTACATTTGCAATGCTGGAAGACTGTAAATAGCCTCACATTTAAAGTAAATAATGAACCTGGGTCATGGGAAGCAGAGATAAGCCTTTTCTTGTTATGTACAAACACAAAAATAGCTTGACTTGCAATTTCAAATCTGAAGCTGAGACTTCTACTGAAATGTTGAAAAGTATTTGGCAGTTCTTGTAGTTGTTAGGAGACTCAGAAATGTCATGGGTAGTTCCTATTTTGTTATTACAGTGAAAAAAAATATAAAAACTTGAGATTTCAAGGCCACTGTCTAGACAGACTTGACTTTTGCTGCCCAAAGAGTGAGGACAAAACTTTCCAGATCAAAGTATCCATGTCATATGCATGCTATCATTGTATTAGAGCATTGCCTTTGTTCCTTACAGGGATGGAGTACAGCTTGCTCTCCCTCTGGCCCTAGGTCCTCCAGAAATGTTTTCACTATCAGTGGTTTATTCCTAAATGGATGGGTGAAAGTTAAGAGGCCTCATAATTTTTTAACTTGAGACAAATTAAATTTTAAGCAAGCTTATTAATTTTTGTGACTCAGCCTTGCTACAAATATCAAGTGTGCACAGTGTTAGAAAGAAACAGAACTATTTCTAGTAAGCAGCAGTTATCAGAAGTTCAAAACAATCAAAAATATCTGTGCTAGGATACATCATGTGATTCTATAGTGCCTGCAGCATGACTGACCCTTCACAGCTATTGTAAATAACACAAGTGCTTGTGGCTCTTGACAAGAGGCTATTCCTACATCTCCTAAATGATTTCTAGTATTAGAAATCTGAGATTGCCAGCATTAATGGTTGCTTTTTTGCATGAGAACAAAATAAATTCCACCCGCTGGCTCTTGAGCTACTCGAGTTCTTTTGTTCTTTATTTCTTTGTTACAGCTGTGTACTAGACTCATTGTTGAAGTGTACAATATTTAGCATATGCTGTGGCTGCAATTCGTTTTAAAGCTCCTTCCTGCATGATTTCCTTCCTACTTCCTTTTTCAATTGTGAAGTCTGAGTGTTCCTGAAGCTTATGATATGTCACAGAAAACAAGGGGGGAAGGAGAGAAAGAAGTCCTTACAGCTTCAGCCAGTTTACATGCTTTTATAAAACACAGTACAAAGCATAACACACACTGGAGCCTTCTTACTCAAAACTAGTTTTATTTTAAAAAATAAGTTGAATGCATAGCACTCACAAAGATTCCATTGTTTTGGACATTTTGCATTTAGAAGCACCATTCTTATTTATGCCATAAAAAACACATTTTGGTTCTAATAGTAAGAACAGTGTATTTTAATGCACACTGATAAAGCCCTTTTAAATAATATAGATTGAAACTGTTCAGTGTACATTTTCTCTGTAGTCATGATGCAACTGTAGTGTCAGAAAAAGAACTCAGACTAAGTAATAAATTAAAAACAAACAGTATGTAGTGGATCTTTTTACAATTGACCTAATGTCTTAAAATAGTCAAATAAAAAATACCCTATTAAATGTAAAGCTGTGGTATTAACTAAGTGAAAAAGCCCCCCACCCATTACAATTCCAGTGTTAAGTATTAGTTAAATTTTTATATATCAAATGCCTATGGGATAAATTTACTAATACCCCAAAAAATGAAGAGCCTATACTGCTGTGTCACAAAAAAAGATGACAAGTTAGATGATTTGAAGATTTTACAGAAAAAAATTGCTACAGGCATCTGCTGTTATTTCAAGTCATGGTCTATTACAAGACTGTACATTCATAGCATCAGAGGTAGTTAGAACACTGAGGACTTGGATACAGCATTGCAACAAAATGAAACCAGCAGAAAGAAGTCCATTTCCCTCTAAAATGGGTAACAGTGCTGAGTGAAAAGCATGGCATCTTATAAGGTGGAAAGTCTCTACTTAACACTACTCTCAGACACAGGGAAATATTCATTAAGAGATGAAGAGAGGAGAGGAAAAAACCAAACCAACTTTCATTTTAATAAGGAATTGACCACACTATGCCTATTTCAAAGTTGATTCTCTAGGATAAAAGGGAGAGGGTCATCTTTTCCATTCATCCTCCTATTCTTCTTGACTTGCACATCTATGCTACAAAAGCCCACAACAGAAATTGGAATTTAAGACAAAACAAGAGAAACAGGATTTCTTCTCCTCAACAATAAATAGGTTTTTTGTAGCATGTTATAATTTAGCTCTAGAAAGAATGAACACAGCTGTCCTCCTCCATTCTGAACATTGTGGTGATAAAGCTTTCATCTTCATATTGATAATGTAGTTTAATTGCCCCTGCTTTCAAAACAGTTTCTGTAAGATTCACAATAATTCAGTGTCATTTGATGGAACACAACTTTAAGTGCTGCCACTAAGACAGGGAAGAAGATGGTGAAAAAACAAATGAAACTACCAAAAAAAGCCTTAAGCCCACGTACTATAAAGATATTTTAAAGTAGTAAGAATTCTGTTATTCATACCACTTCCTCCCACATTCTACCACAGGAGAAAGTCTGATATCTTCTTGTATTTAAAGAAAAAACAAAACAAAACACCCCCGTAAAAAAAAACCAACAAACACACAAAAGGACCCCAAAAACCATCTGTTAATATCTCTACCATAATTTTCATCCAAGAGGTGGATGAGTGAAGCTTTCTACCCTCAGACTATCCACTCCACAGGAGATAGTGTAATTCCATAAAGTTATATTATTAGCACCTTACTTGTGGTGAAGGAGTTCACTCTGCTAAATATTTTTGATCCACCCACTTGGAAGAGCAAATCTCTACATCTTCTTCTGGAACTCCCAAATAGTAGAAGAAAAAGTTGCCCCTTTATTACCTGAGAATTTCCCTCCACTATAAACGTGACAGAACTGGATTTCTATCAGCATTTAAGTGTACTTTTTCTGTAGGGATGGTACTGTCAGTACAACTGGAGGATGCTCTCTGTTGATTAATAGTATTCATGTGTTTGTGTGTGTGTACAAAGAGGAATCACAGCCACTGTAGTAGTTCTGGTACAGTACAAGTTCAGTTGAAACTCTCTCTTTTCTTCAATTATCACACTGCTGGGCAGTAGTTCACATCTACATTCTGTGAACACTAACATATCCCTTTGGTACTCTGCATAGATGCCCTGAAGAAAAGCCACTCCACTTGCTATAGTCTCTTCCCCCTCTGCCTTCCTTCCCCGAGTTAAACCCAATTAGTGTACAAACCAGCAGCACAGAGTAACGAGTAGAAAAGTCCCTGAGTTAGTATGAAAGAGTTACTTTAAACACAAAAAAGATAGGGAGGATAAAAGAGGCAAAAATATACTGTCTGTCCTGTAAGGTACAAAACTTAAAAAACTAGCCAAAACACCAGTTAATTCATGTGTGTTAGCCTAAAGCAAATAACCAACACCAGTGGTGAAAAAGGGGCAAGATGATGGAGTTAGCCACATGAGATTTGTTTCTTCCTGTGATCTCCATGTAACTGTAGAAGTCTGGCATTCAGTGGATTCTTAAGTTTCAGTAAGTATAAAGTAAGTGTTAATACTGTACGGTGGGATGACGTAAATGTCTTCAAAATAATACTGCATATCTCCTTCATTAAAAGATAAGTCTGTAGTTAGTCCACAGCTGTTTTTTTTTTGAGTAGTATTTCACAGACACACATTAGAAGCAGAATATTCTGAGTGTCAGAGGAAGAAGGCATTATCCCCAAGCATACAGATTCTTTTTCAGAGGATGGTCTGTGTGCTAACTTTTTGCAGGCTGTTATTTGAGCTGTGGTACCGGTTGCCAGTCCAGTTGCTTTCTTTCCTGGGAAGACACCTTTTTTAATTCAATTTTTTGCCCTCCAACTTTGAGGTTTAACAAAATGAAACCGTTTTCCACACAACTCTCCACCCCAAAAAACAAACAAGCACAAAAGCATTTTGTGCTTATCACCTCTCAAAGCAGGGAGTAATGCAGGAATATCGTCCGTTCACTTGGTACGTCCGGTTGTAGGAGACACTTATGCACGGCTTCACGTCCAGCGGCACAGCCAGGGACACGGCAGCGCCCGTCTGCACGTGGCCTCGAGCCTGAGCACTGCTCTGCAGGGCAGCAGGGCAGCTCTGCAGCGGGTAGGAGGCTGTGTGAGCGGATGACAGTATCTGCTGGCAGCTCTGCTGCTGTGATGCTGGGTGGTGGAACTGCAAGGAGGACTGGTGAGCCTGCAGGTACTGTGGTATGTGCGGGTGCTGCTGAGCATTGCCCTGCTGGGCACTGGGAGCTGGGGGCTGAAACACGGCGTGCTGGGCAGACTGAGCCTGTTGTCCTTTCTGCTTGTTTGCTTCCTTCACATCGTTATCATGAGCACTGAAACAAAAGACAAAATACATCAAAATAGATATTCATGTAATTTAAACTCCTTTGAGTTAACTTTAAGAGCACTCTAAAAAATGATGCAAGTATCTGACAGCTTCCAAAACTTTAAAAAAAAAAAAATTGTTTTAGCTACCCTTTAAAATCATCTAAGGTTTCAAAATGTGGTTAGGGTACACTCTCTTTCCAGCATTTCACTTCATTGTACAGCAATAAAAAACACAGATAAAGGCCAAGTACAATACATGCAAGAGAGTGGGATCTAGAATCACAGTGCAGTAAATTTTGCTATTGTACTTACATTGGCCAACAAATTGCTAGATTACCAGAACTTGAACTGGCTGCTTCTACCTAATTTAAATTAAACAGAGTATAAGGTTCCTAAAAGAAAGGTACCAGAAAGATTTGCAGTATCTACATTACAGTACTTAAAGATCATATGCATATAGGTATTAGATTCTGTTCTAGAGAGCAAAACCACTTCATTTTTTTTCCTTTGTCTCACCTTTTTTCTACCCTATCCAGTATGGCTCATCTGAATTCCCTTTGATTTACAACTGTCTGAAATGTATCTAGACATACTCTCTTTCTCAATTCTATGCTGAGGTTGAGCAGATGCCACCTACACATCTCATTACTAACTTTCTGATGGTCCCCTCCCCCTGTTCCAGAGCAATACTGAAAACACTTCTGCAACAGCACTTGCATGCTTTAGGTACTACTCCTTTCATCATACACATAAGTGAAGCCAACAGAGGCCATCAAGGGTGACAATGTCACATTGCTAAGGCTGATGTGGTTCTTACAGATACAGCTGTGCATCTTCTGATCACAGCTATGTTAGACTTGGGTAACAGCAAATTTCTGTAGAGGGAAAGCAGATTGTCTAACATGCCTGCCCGAGAAGGTTCATTTGGCATTCACTGGAATTTTTATCTTGTCAGCTGTAATGCAAAAATGGATACAGCAAGAATAGATACAAACTCGTGGTTATCTCCTCCTGCCAAAGCTGGTCACCTAAACAGTCTGCAGGTTTGATCCATCATCTCTTTGGAGCATGCCTTGAACTTCCAAGGCATACAGTCATAGGCTCCTTTGCCTTTGGCACTCTTCACTATCTCTTTGCTCTCAGATCAGACTAGAGAGATTGGGAACAAGCTATTGAAGATGCTCAGAGCATCCCAGATGTTCAGTGGAAATGCAAGGCAGAAGTTTATTTGTTGAAAGATCAGGAAAGAGATTAGATCTGATAAAGTTTTCTCTTTTGGAAAGAGCAAAACAGTTATTGCCTAAAAATATGTACCAAACTTATACACAAGTATTTTTAGAACAGAGGAATGGAAATTTTTAAAAGAAATATAACTGCACTGCTGGCAGCAATTAAGCATAACAACAGATGCAGAGATGGGCTTAAAAAAGCCACTGGTGTTAACTCACATTAAGAGTCGCTCAATACACGGCACCAGGAAGTCCCAGGAGTAGGCAGTGAGGTGATGCAGCCGCGTGGGCCACGTGGGTGACAGACGCAGGATAATCCTTGAAGAAGCTACACATGCAGTAGCAACTAAAGAAGGGGCATAATTTAAAAATTCATGATCTAGAAAGAAGGAATAAGAAAAAAAAAATCATTGAAGTTTGATACTGTCTGTCAAGACAACAAAGAAGTCATTATCTGAAATCTGTAACTCACCTTGCAATGATACTTCCAGAAAGTAATCAGCATATTTTGCCATGTATAACTTAGTCTTCTCTAAGCAAACCATTGGCCAGCCATCATGAAGATCAGTCTCATGGACAGCAACAGAAAGATAATAGTCGATGAAATGAGCAGCAGTTGGAAGGCACAGATTCCACTGAAATGTTTCTAGCAACAACAACTCCATATGAAGCAAATTCTGTTTTGTGAGTACCAAATTCATGTTAGTCATACAACCCAAGCTGTTCAGCTGTTCAAGCTTGGGAACACTGTCTTCCTTTTCTTCAAATTTACCTTCAGGTGAACAGAAAGAGGAGGGGAAAAAAAAGGTTCAGCACATATTCACTATAAAATGGATTACAGCTAATGTCTTGTTGGTCATATTTCAATTCTACTATGTCAAACAAGCTTGAGACTTTCCTGCAGATGCAAAGCTCAAATAGACTATGTCATTAGAGACAAAAAGGGGTATGTACTAAAATGGGCTAAATTTCAGCAGATAATGTCAAACACTGTGTAGGATATTGTGCAGTGCCATGTTTCCTGCTGGTTTTCCCATGCTGGCTCACAGAAGCCAGCTGCCAAGAGCAGAATATTAGGACATCACTGACACTACATATGCAGGTTTTTGTCACCCAATTATTGTATAATGTGTCCCCACCATCAATGAAATACCACTTTGATTTGACTTGGCAAACATACCACAAGAGCATTTGGCTTTAATCACCCTCCCACCCCTGCACACCCTTTTTGTGTCTAAAACTCATTAGAGCATAGCTAGAGCTCCAGCCAACCTGGCTGCTTTTAATGCCTGCAATGGTAGGTGCAGTTTTGTATTTGAGATCTGGCAAACAAGTGGACTTCAACAACATGCACCTGAAAGCCTCCTCTGCCACATAAACTGTTGCAGCCTTCCTTGGACTTTCAACTTGTCAGGCCTGTATGTTTTAGCCTAAAGCAAAACTGTGTATGTAGAAAACCCATTAATAAGAGAAACAAGTGTCACATTTCCATACAGTTTGCCATATGGTTGTGCTATTTCAATTTCATTGCAAATTCTTTCCATCTTACACTTTCTATTCAGTGCTACGTGATAGGTTGTAAATGCACATTCTTTGAGTTTTGCAGGACTGAACATACATGAACATTTACTTTTTTCAACAGTGGAGGTACTTATATAGGACTTAATCCAATACTGGTGCCAGTCTGTTAGTTTTTGTTTCCCATACTCCAGTAATTACAGAAATAAAACTTCAGGAGTCACATAATAATTCCTCTTATTACTTCTTTAACCTTATCAGATATATCACAGTGTCACAACTTATTACACCACTGATTAAACTGCTTGTTTGAGCCACACAGGGCAAAAGTTTAAAACAGCATTTTGCTTCTCTCTCAACCAATCCATACACAGCTTCTCCAGGCTTTTAGATCTCTACTTGTAGCTTAGCATGAACTATGGCAGAGGTTTGTTTAAAACAAAAAAAAAAAAATTCTCTTCAGAACATGAATTTAATTTGAAAATCCAGCATTAGTTCAAAGCCAATCCATTTTCCTAAATGGATTACAGTGGTTTCTGAGGCAATGTTTTCATACTCAGCACGACACCCTTTGCCAAGAGAAGATTACTAGCTGGTGGCACCTAGTCAAAGTCTGCCCTCAGAAGAACATGGAATAACCCTTTTCTGGTTTAACTGCTCTGCTGAATAGCTGTATTGGTGGACATGGGATGCAGTGAAAGATGAAATCTGTCCAATACCACTGCACTCCAGTTTTGTAGCAAAGAGGGCCTAGAGCCCTTACTGGGAAAAATGAGAAGAGATTCAGAGAAACAAATCAGCAGAAACTCAACCAACAGTTAGTTCTGCTGCCAGGACCATTTTCTCTGACTTCTATTTGTCTGTGACCAAGTGCCAGCAGGTTTCCCAGCAAAGGGCACTCTTGTTTTTTCAGGGATACTGAAAAGGGGTCCCCGAATGTTGAAAGGTGGATACACACCACAAGAATCTGATGTCAATATAAGCAGCACTGTTTATAATTAACATTGCCACTTACAAAAATCTGGAGTATTCTAGAACTACACAGCACAATCAGAAGAATGCAGTGCAGTCTACACATGGTTTATTTCATTTCTTTCTTTATCACAGATAGGCAAATTTCTCATTTCCAGCACAGGACGGACCTATTTTGAGATAGACTGTCTTTCTAGGGGTTTCTGTTTCTACAACACAGGTCTTAAGTTCACATTAGAATAATTTGTTTACAAATATAAACATTCGTTTTTGATCTCAGCTTGTTTTTTCCCACCCTCAGTTTCATCAGGTGCCAACAGAAATCAAAACAAGTCTAAAGAAATGTTTTACCAACTGGGCCAGACCGATATGCACTGCTTATCATTTATATATCCACTTTATATCATTTATATAACCACTTGGTTTCCTCCACCCGCTCCATCCCACCCAGACACGCTCTGCATTTGGCAGCAGAATCGATCAGTCTGGTTAAAGTTTGGTGCCACATACTTACTTGCCAAAAGTAAACAGGACAGAGCAACCACGTGCAGCTGCTGTGTGGAAATGTCGTAGCGGTCCATGAAGAGGTCCAGCAGGTACACAGCCAGGTGGCGAGCAGCAGGACACAGCCTGAAGCGGTTGCTCACAATGGCAATCAGGTCTGCAAAGTATCTTCTCAGGTGTAACTGGGGAGACTGGCCTTTGTAAGGGGGCAGCTTTAGCTCCTAGGTGAACAGCAGCAGGTAATTTTATTAAAATCATGATTTAGTTTGAAGTGGTATCAGATTAATGCAGCTGATATTTTAATATTTCTAACGGAAGTTTCAAAGGATTTCTCCCTTCTTCCCTCTGTTCTCATAATTTCAGAATTCCTTTTCAGCAAAAAAAAAATATATTTGTTGTATTACAGAACAACTAAAAAATACTTTGTTTCTGCACAATATTAACAAACTAAAATTTAGCATCTTTCATTTGGGCAGTCAGCCAGAGTGACTTCAGCTTTTACCATGTCCGTTGTATTGTCTCTGCTGCAAAGGCTGTACAAGGGCATGTAAGTATTCCTCAGCTGCTTCAATGTTCAAAAAGTTCAATAGTTAACTCAATCCCTCTCTTGCTACAGCTCGATCTGGGCAATCAGACTTTGTACTTAAGTGTTTGCATGTTCTAGAGCTGCCAAATCTCCTGCCGATGCCTCCAGCAAGAGGCCACTAACAGCCAGCTGAACCTTAGGAAGGGGAGCGGGTGTGCCTGAACCAACATTGGCCTCGTGCACGTTAAAGATGTGACGGATGTCACACTGACACCGACTGCAGTGCGCTCTAAGGCACCTCAGCTCACAGGGTGTCAGATTTGGGGGCAGGACCCCTCAAAACAAAGGTCCTAGAAACACCACACTTGAGAAAATCTGTGCCATGATCTATTTTGAATACAAAATTTGGACTGGTAAAAAAAAAAACAAAAACGACCAGGCTCCTGCCGAGTAGCCAGTACCTCTTCTTGTGTGCAGCAGAACAGCAGTGCTGTCCTCTGTCCCCTTTATTATGAATAAATTTACGATATGGACTGTGCACCCACACGCTGTGTTCAAGTAGGATTTGGAGTACAATTACATTTTCAGCGAAAATTATCTTGATTAACTTAACTTAATGACATCAAGTTGCAATGGCGTCACAAATTTTTCAAAGTTTTAATTTAAATCCAAAGTTTCGAAACGTGCTATTGAAGTGAAACAAAAGCCCACAAACAAACTTCTCACCTACTAAGCTTTATAATTCACTTCTCACAGCACCAACTTAGCTTTAGTAAAGATAATCTGGTAGCAAATAAATGATCCTGTCCTTTATTTCCCTCCATCACCGGAAAAAGAGAAAAGCAATCAAGACTCCGGGAAAAGTAATCCGCTCATCGAGTATCATCAAGCAACAAAAGCGCTGTTTTAGCAGGTTGGGTCATTGTAAACGGATTTTTAGCCCAGGTGTTAAGAGGCGCTTTATCAAAACACTCCCGAAGAACAACTCCGAGACAAATCGAAGCAACTTCTAAGCAATTACCTTAACCCTCCACTGTTAACGCTGCCAGCGTTTCTTTCACTGGGTTTTTGTTTGGCTAGTAGTTTGTTGTTTTTTTTTTTTTTTTGCTCCAATAACACCACAATGCTTTCTGCCCAGTTTAAACCTTGCAAACGTCTCAAGACCGGCACCGGGCGCACCGTGAGCCCTTGCCGTCTCCGGGGAGCAGCGGGAGCACAGTCCAGCCGCTCGGATCAGCTGTCACGGCCGCGGACAGACGGACAGACGGCCCCGGCGCCCGCGGCGGGACGACTCGGCGAGCTCCGAGTTCACAAAGCTAATTCCGCCGAGCGCGGCCGCCCCAGGCGCGCCCTCCGCCCGCTGCCCCCGCGGCGGCTCCTCCGCCCAGAGCCTCACAAAGACGCCGGGGCCGCCCCCAGCCCCGCTCCCCCGGCGGTACCTTGTATCGAAGCGCTTGGTGGATGTCGGCCGCCAGCTGTCCTGTCCACCACTGCGCCTCCAGCTCCATCGGCGGCGCGGCGCGGCGCCTGGGCCCAGGCACCGGGGAGGAAGCGGCACTCGCTGAGGGCGGGACAGGTAGCGCCACCCTCGCCCCTTTCTGGCTCGCCCCCGGCTAACCGCGATCAGCTGCCGCGGGGCACCCCCGGCCCCCCAGCCCAGCTGGCCGCCATGCGGGGCACAAATGCGGCTCGTTAAGCCACCCCCTCCCGCCGCGGGGCACGGCCGGGCGAGGGGGTCGCGGAGGTGGTGGCGGCGGCCGCGGGGGAGGCGGCGGGGCGCGGCCCGGGACACCCGAGCGCGGCGCGGCTGCCCCGGGGCTCCGCCGCCATCACGCGGCGCCGCGCGCCGCGCCCATTGTTAAAGGGCCGCGCGTGTACAAAGCCGGGCAGCGCCCACATGGGCCCGCCCGCCTGCCAATCGCCGGCCGCCTTACAGCGCGGCCCTCACCGCTGCCAATCGCCGGCCGCTTTACAGCGCCCCCGGCCGCCAATCAGCGGCGGCAGGCGCGGGCCGGAGGCGGGCGCCTCTGGGACCGGGGAAGGTGCGGGCGGGGCGGCCAGGCCGGGGTCCCTCAGCCGGGGCAGTGGGCTCAGCCGGCCGGAGCACAGCTGTCTGTAGGCCCCCGCAGCTTCGGATAGCACCTTTTTTTTTTTTTTTTTTTTTTTTTTTTTTGTCCTCTTATTCCCCTTTCCCTCATTTCCCCCGGCTCTTTCCCCGTTGGCTCAGCTGTGAGGGTTCAGCACGTGGCGGTGGCAGCGCCTCGCTCAGCTCCTGCCCTGCAGCGCATTGTCCCGGGGCAGCGGTGCGGGGCGCACACGCCTCCTCCGAGCTCTGAGGCTCCAGTCCCGGACTTTGGTTCCCCGCGGGTGAAGTCCCGGGAGGAGGTTTGCAGGAGCGCGCATCCTCCCTTTCAGGAGCCGGTGCCGCTCAGCTGAGCGCTCACCAGGGCTCCGTGTCCTGCAGCTGGAGACCGAGAGCTCCAACTCTGCCCCTGGCTAACAGAGCCTTTTCCTTGCTGCTTTCTACTCTCCGGTAACCCCCCGCTACAGGCCCCTTACAAAATAAAACTTAGTGCTTTATCGTCCTTCATATATTTGAATTTATAAATATTGATGCAACTAGTTAATGAGACTGTAAAACCTGGTACAATAGGTGATGCAAAGTGATGGAGAATAAATGCTTTGGGTGCAATTTTTTTGTTGAGAGAATATATTTAATTTTTTGTTTCTACCTCTGCTCAGACATGATTTTTTTCCTTTTAATTAAGAACATAGAAACCAACTTTTTGACATAACCAGTTTAATGACTCTAGAGGGAGCTGTAAAAGCCTGTTCCTGTGTCTAATGGGTAACCCTATAGACTACAGTAGTCCCTTTCATCTGAGGAGGTGTGCTCATAGGTGGAAGCTTTTCTTTTTGAGGACAAATTTTTGGACTGTTTCCATTGATAACAGATGTCGTTATAAAATACATAATTTTCTGAAGGAAAAAAGCAAGAAAAGTTTGGAGTTATTTTTCTTGGTGCATAATTACAAAAATATTTTAACTATTTAGATTAGCTATCTGATATCTACGGACTATTGACAAATTAGTATTTTCCTGGTCCAATGACTTTTTGTCTCACTTCTGTACATTGTTTTATAGGCAAATGCACACTCAAGCTAATTTTTATATTTGCAGATATATTGTTTTTAAACTGTTCATTTTTGAAGAAAGGTAATACCAAAGTATGTGTTTCAAGGATAAGTCTCAAAACCAGATTCCGAATGGGGACACTGTCTTTTGTAACATCTTTATTGCCTTCAAAAATGTGTTGCCTGCATGAAGAGAAGGCTAATAAACACCAACATGCTAAAACCTGTTACAATGGGCCCAAAGAGGGAAGTGATGGTCCTTTTCTTACTGCTATTAGCAGTGCTGCCTCCCCCTAGAGCTTTTAAGCACTCTGTGGATTAGTCTGGTGCTGAACTGTTAAGCATGGAAAAAATACTGATGCTTGCTGACTTATTTCTAAGATGCTTGATTGGCTTAGCTAGGAAACAGCATCCTCATAAGGCTATGTACTCTGAGAACTATTCCATTTATATATAATCAAGAAAAACAATGATGTCATTGTTAAGTGCCACTGCAAGGTGGAGTGAGCTGTGGAACTCCCTATTTCAGATTCTTTTTCCCATTACAATCTATGTTAATTGTTGGTCTTGTGAACAGTTACATCTGTCTGCTTTTCACGCAATGAAAACATAGGTTTGGAAAGAGCTTCATCATCCTGCCCAAGGCCAAGATTGCTTCTGGCATGCATTTTTCTAATCTTGGAGACACTCAGAAAACCATCCTATTGAAAAAGCGAGAGCACTTAAGTACAGCTGGTTATCTGCAGGAAGCTTACATCCTATCAGCTGTTAACAATCAGCCATTGGAATAATCTTCTCAGGGAAGTGCAGGATTCCCCAGCGTTGCACACTTTAAAGATTCGGTGGAGTAGGGTGTTGGGACATCTTGCTTTTGCCAAGAAGGTTTGAACAAGATGATGCTGGCGCTCCCCTTCCAACTTGGTATTCTATGACCTCAGTTTATGCCTTAGCCCCAGCTGGAAGATTTGAGAATAATCTTGCAGTGCTGAGCTGAGGCTGGTTGTTTTCAGAGTTTGCAAGATCACACTTTTGAGGTTTGAATGGGAATGGGAGTAGCACAACTGTAGTGAGAATAGGTTAATCCAGCTTCTCTACATGCCTTACAATCAATCCCAAGTGTACTAACCAGTGGAGTTTTTTAGCCAGTCCAGATTTCATCTACTTGCAGTTGTCAAGGCTGTGTACAGTTTTTAAAGTATTCCTACCTTAGTCCCCTCTATGTAAGTCAGGATAGAACAAAAACCAGCTCAGCAAGTCCTTAGAATAAACAGAGGATATGAAAACGTGACTTTCAGTGGCAGTTACATTTTCTTAGCAAGAAACTGAAAGCATGAAGTATGTGTAGTATATAGAACCTGAGAAAACAGCAGAATTAAATGTTATGGAACCATTTTGAAATTGGTATCCTCTTTCTGTAAATGACCCTGGATCACCTAAGCAAATATGTGTGTCTCAGGGGGGGAATGAAATTGGCTGTGAGAGCTGCTGTCTGTGCTTTGAAAAGGTGCCAAGTAGCAGGAAATACCGTTATTCTTGGAACTCACAAGAAAAATTATTACCCCGAGCTACATCCAAAATAGGCTAGAATGCAACCTGTGAAATCTGGACTAAAATCCGTGTAACATTTTTGTGGAATCTTCTGAAGAGGATGCTGCAGAAGTCTTACAATTTATGGACCTGTAATTCACAGGTTATAGTCCTAACACGGTTTCAGACAGGGTGGGTGAGCTGGCTTCTCTTTGTAGTTACCGGGAGGTTAGATCTGTATCTCAGGAGTTAATGCATGTATTTATGTGTTTAAGCTGTTTTTTCTTCCCCTGGTTTTCTTCTGATGGTTCTTGGCCTATGAAAAAAGAAATTTGACTTTTAAAATCCAAATTAAGAACTTGAAAGTAATTGCCAAGTACAGCAAAAGCTCTGATCCTGCAAACCACATTAGAACCCATTTACCCCTCCCAGTATAAAAAGATCTGTTTCTGGTGTACTGTTCTTCGTTTTGACGGTACATCAGCCACAGAGAACAAGTTTCTAAAGACTGACACTTCTGTGCCCCTTGCCATAAGATATATCTCTGAACTTTGGATTTATCTTGACTGGCAGAATGAGATGAATCAACACACAATCAGCACCCAGGATGGAAGCTAAATTCTGGGGTGACATAGCACTGAAGGAAACAAATAATGGCTCAATTGCTGTGTTAATTGCGGGCTTTGTTTATTGGTTCTTGCTTTTGTTTTGTTGCTCCTTGGTCATTCTCATCTGAATAAAGACATGGTAACTCCTTAAAAGGCATTTCTGAAGTATTTAGTTTTTGGAATTAAAATGTAAGGGAATCTCAGTTTTGTAGAACTGAGAATAATTTAACAAAAAAAAAAGTGCAGACTTAGTTCCTGAGTTTCTTGGGGCTGAGAAAGTTCTGCTTTTGTTCTGTCCTTGGTCTTATTTTCAAACAAAGGCTGCATCTGATGACATTCATAGCAGTAATATTTCAAGGGCATTTAATTGAAGGGAATGAATCACCCTGAAGACAGGACTGTAATTGCTCACAGAGCTCTTTTACAGCATGGTGGTAGATGAAATGTGCCATGTTGGTAGAAAGTCTTAACACTTCAGAAGGATTAATGAAGGAAATCTCGTACAGAAAATACTCTGGGGTTGTATTTGTAAATCCTATATTGAATGCTAAAGGTACTCTGTGGTTAGGATTTTCAAAGTTGTCTGGGGATTTGAATTCCCAGAACAGCTACTGAAATGTGATTAATAGATTTGATCTGAGCTGGTAAATATCCTTTGGAACTGTTGACTTTAGTTGTTAATATGGCTATTAATACAGAAAACATCTGAGAATGCTCAGGCCTGAGCAATACATGCTTTTCATGAAGCATTTTAATGAACAATTTGGCTTTAAATATTTTCCCATCTTCTGGAAAGCTATTATAAAAATGTGCACCCATGACTGTTTTATTTGGCATTAGGATGAATGTATATGTTTTTGATAATGTGTTGGATGAAGGAAACATTCATGTAAGTAGAAGGGTGTTGGTGGATATAAGTTGTACTGGGGGGGGGGTTGTTCTTTTCTGTAAGTTGCACTCATGGTTGTCAGTAACTAAAAAGATGGAGGAATTTTGCATCTAAAGCAAATGTACTTCCTGCTTGGAGGGCTGCAGCTCATTTGACTGGAATTTAGTAAAGGTTATTTGTTGTGCAGTTGGCTTAGGGATGGGGGGAGAGCAGTTAGGAATACTCAGTTGTTCCTGTCAAATGTATTGATTTATTTATATCCACAGAATTGAAGCAGGGCAAACTGGCCTATTCCTTTTCGTTTCAAACTTGAGGTCCATCACAGATTTTTTTTTTTTTTAATATAATATCTGGAGCCAGCCCAGGCAGAGCACCACAAAGTTAATGCTTTTGTCTGCTAGGGGTGGCCCGGGAGGACAA